TTCTTCATCACTCCTCCTCCTCGTCGTCCTCCTTCTCGTCCTCGTCCTCTCTTCCTCGTCGTCCTCGTCGTCGTCCCCGTTGTCGTGTGGGATCCAATTTGAAACCCTCACAACAGGAACCCTTGGGGAAGCACCACAAAGGGATTCCATTGGAAAGCCTCTCAACAGGATCCCTTGGGAAAGCACCACAGAGGGAGGGTTCAGCGCCGCAAGTACGACACCCTCCCCTGACCTCCTCCATGAGGCTCCTCTCCGTCCTCCTCCTCCTCCCCCTCCTCCTCCCCCGTCCCCCCTTCTGAAGGAATGCAAAAACTTTGGGAAACCCATGGGGGGGGGAGTGCTGGAGGCGAAAACGTCTAGGAAACCCATTGGAAAGCCCGCCGAAACAAAAAACAAAATTCCAAGGAACACCCGTCTGAAGGGACACGTCCAGAGGGAATCCCCGCACTATCTGTAGAATATTTGATTGTTTGGCTGTTTGTGTTTATAGTTGTTTCTAAAGTGTTTGCCTCCAGCTCGTCAGGTTCTTTAGTCTTTCTTGGTTTGCCCAATGGTTTTCCAAAAGTTGTTGCGTTCGAGGGCCGAAAGCGCCCTATACCCATCCAGTCTGGAGCTCCTCCCCATCCACATTCTGAAGGAACGCAAAAACTGTGAGAAAGCCATTGGAAACAAAAAACTGAAGAGCCGGAGGCAAAAACTGTAGGAACGCCATAGAGAAAGAAAAAAAAAAAACACTACAGAGGGTGCGGGGAATCCCTTTGGACGTGTCCCTTCAGACGGGTGTTCCCTGGAATATGTGTTGTTGCTTTTTGTTTGTTTCTGGGCTGCCCAACAGCACTTCGGTTTCTTTGTTTGTTTTTTTGTGTGTTCCCAATGGTTCCCCCAAAGTTTTGCATTCCTTCAGAAGGAGTGACGGGGGAAGAGGAGGGGGAGGAGGAGGAGGAGGACGGAGAGGAGCCTCAGGGAGGAGGTCGGGGGAGGGTGTCGTACCTAAGGCGATAAACCCTCCCTCTGTGGTACTTTCCCAAGGGATCCTGTTGAGAGGCTGTCCAATGGAATCCATTTGTGGTGCTTTCCCAAGGGTTCCTGTCGTTAGGGTTTCAAATTGGACCCCACACGACGACGAGGACGACGACGAGGACGACCAGGAAGAGAGGACGAGGACGAGAAGGAGGACGACGAGGAAGAGGACTGATGAATAAGAATACGCAGGCCGTTCAGCAAAAATCTCAAAATCGCGGGGGGGGGGGAATCGAACCGAAACCTCATCAGCATCAGCATTGCCATCGTCATCATAATCAGCATCATCAGCATCGGCAGCACCACCAGCATCATCACCATCATCAGCAGCAGAAGCATCATCACCTTAAGCAGCAGCATCAGCATCGGAATAAGCATCATCAGCATCAGCATCATCATCAGCATCGTCATCAGCATCATTATCATCATCGTCATCAGCATCAACAGCATCAATCATCATCAGCAGCATCAACATCAGCATCAGCATCATCAGCATCAGCATCATCATCCTCATCATCAGCATCAGCACCATCATCACCATCCTCATCATCAGAATCATCACCGTCATGATCATCAGCAGCATCATCATCAGCATCATCATCAGCATCATCATCATTATCCTCCTCTCCCGTCTCAGCATCATCATCAGCAGCAGCGTCAGCATCATCATCATCAGCAGCATCATCATCATCAGCATCGTCATCGGACTAAGCACCATCAGCAGCAGAAGCATCATCATCAGCATCAGCATCAGCATCAGCACAAGCATCTGCATCAACATCAGCATCAGTATCAGCATCATCATCGGCAACATCATCATCATCATCAGCAGCATCATCGTCATCTATCAGCAGCATCATCGACATCATCTCATCAGTATCATTATCATCCGCCTCCTTCTCCTGCTCATCATCAGCATCAGCATCATCGTCATCATCATCGTCATCATCATCGTCATCACCATCAGCAGTATCATCATCGGCAGCAGCAGCATCACCATCAGCAGCATCATCATCAGCATCATCACCCTCATTATCAGCTTCATCATCATCATCATGATCAGCAGCATCATCAGTATCATCATCATAATCAGCATCTTCAACATCAGCATCAGCATGAGCATCAGCAGCATCATCATCATCAGCATTGTCATCGTCGTCTTCATCGTCGTCATCGGCATCATCAGCATCAGCATCATCATCAGCATCAGCATCATCAGCACCATCATCATCATCATCAGCAGCATCATCATCATCAACATGGGCATCAACATCATCAACATCATCAGCAGTATCAGCATCATCATCATCAGCATCATCGCCAACATCAGCATCAGCAACAGCATCCTCATCATCCTCATCAGCATCAGCATCATCAGCATCAGCGTCATCACGACCACCGTCACCAACACCACCACCAGCACCATCATCAACAGCAGCAACATCATCACCATCACCACCGCCAGCACCACCATCATCATCAACACACTCATCACCATCACAATCATCATAGCCATCACCGCCAGCCTCGCAATTCTCATCATAGCCATCATTACCCCCCCTTTGCCGCACATCTCCTGGGGAAGGGGGCTCGGGCTCCGCCTCCTCCACCGCGGGGTCTGCTTGCGCAACTGGCCGCGAAGCGGGCTCGCCCAGCACGGCCAACGACTCTGGAACCTCGCGGGGGGCGGAGCACGCACACGGTACAGCCCTGCCGACCGTCCTCCTCCTCATCATCAACATCTTCCTCCTCCTCCTCCTCCTCCCCCCCCCCTCCCCCTACTCCTCTTCATCCTCTTCCTCCTCTTCCTCCTCCTTCTCCTTCTCCTTCTCCTTCTCCTCCTCCTCCTCCTCCTCCTCCTCCTCCTCCTCCTCCTCCTCCTCCGCCTCATCCGTCTCCACCTCCTCCTCCTCCTCATCCTTCCTTCCTCCTCCTCCTCCTCCTCCTCCTCATCCTCCCACGTCGTCCTCCTCGTCCTCCTCCTCCCATTCCTCCTCCCCCTCCTCCTCCTCCTGTTCTGGTTCCTGCCCCTCCTCCCCCTACCCATCCTCCTACTCCTCCACCCCCCTCCTCATCCTCTTCCTCCTCCTCCTCCTCATCCTCCTCCTCCTCCTCCTTCTGCTCCCTCCCTCTCTCCTCCTCCGCCTACTCTCTCCGCCGCCTGCTCCTCATCCTCATCCTCGTCCTCCTCCTCCTCCTCCTCCTCCTCCTCATACTCATCCTCCTGCACATCAGCATCATCATCATCATCATCATCATCATCATCATCATCATCATCATCATCATCATCATCATCATCATCATCATCATCATCATCATCATCATCATCAGCATCATCATCTCATCATCATCATCATCATCATCATCATCAGCATCATCATCATCATCATCATCATCATCATCATCATGTCATCATCATCATCATCATCATCATCAATCATCATCATCGCATCCTCATCATCATCATCATCATCATCATCATCATCATCAGCATCATCATCATCATCATCATCATCCATCACATCATCATCATCATCATCATTCATCATCATCATCAACATCAGCATCACATCAATCAACATCATCATCATCAGCATCAGCAGCAGCAGCATCAACAGCATCATTATCATCATCATCATCATCCTCATCATAATCATCAGCATCATCACCATCATCATCAGCATCATCATCATCATTATCATCATCATCAGCATCAGCATCATCAACAGCATCATCGTCATCATCATCACCATCATCATCATCATCAGCATCATCATCATCATCAGCATCCTCATCATCATCAGCATCAGCATCAGCATCATCATCGTCATCATCAGCATCATCATCATCAGCATCAGCATCAGCACCAGCATCATCATCATCATCAGCATCACCACCCTCATCCTCATCATCATCATCAGCATCATCATCATCAGCAGCAACATCATCATCATCATTGCCATCATCATCATCACCATCATCATCAGCATCCTCATCATCGTCAGCATCAATCATCATCATCATCATCACCATCATCAGTATCAGCATCATCATCACCACCACCATCATCATCCTCAGCATAATCATGAGCATCATCAGCAGCATCATCAGCATCGCCACCACCACAATCATCATCATCATCATTATCATCATCATCATCATCAACATCATCATCAGCATCACCATCAGCATGATCGACATAATCATCATCAACAGCAGCACCATCATCATCATCATAATCATCACCAGCATCAGCATCATCAGCATCAACATCATCATCAGCATCATCAGCGTCATCAGCATCACAATCATCATCAGCATCAGCATCCGCATCCACATCGTAAACTGCAGCAGAATCACAATCATCATCATCATCATCATCCTCATCATCATCTTCAGCAGCATCATCATCACATTCCTCATCAGCAGTATCAGCATCATCATCAGCATCATAATCAGCAGCATCATCGTCATCATCAGTATCATCAGCAGCAGAACCAGTATCATCATCAGCATCGTCATCATCAGCATCATCATCATTACATCATCATCCTCATCATCATTGCCATCATCATCATCAGCAGCATCATCATGATCATCAGCATCAGCACCAGTATCAGCATCGTTAGCATCGTCATCATCAGCCGCATCATCAGCATCATCATCATCATCATCGTCAGCATCATCATCATCATCATCATCATCATCATCATCATCATCATCATCAGCGGTGTCGGTTCGTTTTCGCCCCCCCCCCCCGCCTCCACCCCCGAGCTGAAAGGCCTGCGTATTCTTCTTCATCACTCCTCCTCCTCGTCGTCCTCCTTCTCGTCCTCGTCCTCTCTTCCTCGTCGTCCTCGTCGTCGTCCCCGTTGTCGTGAGGGATCCAATTTGAAACCCTCACAACAGGAACCCTTGGGGAAGCACCACAAAGGGATTCCATTGGAAAGCCTCTCAACAGGATCCCTTGGGAAAGCACCACAGAAGGAGGGTTCAGCGCCGCAAGTACGACACCCTCCCCTGACCTCCTCCATGAGGCTCCTCTCCGTCCTCCTCCTCCTCCCCCTCCTCCTCCCCCGTCCCCCCTTCTGAAGGAATGCAAAAACTTTGGGAAACCCATGGGGGGGGGGAGTGCTGGAGGCGAAAACGTCTAGGAAACCCATTGGAAAGCCCGCCGAAACAAAAAACAAAATTCCAAGGAACACCCGTCTGAAGGGACACGTCCAGAGGGAATCCCCGCACTATCTGTGGAATATTTGATTGTTTGGCTGTTTGTGTTTATAGTTTTTTCTAAAGTGTTTGCCTCCAGCTCTTCAGGTTCTTTAGTTTTTCTTGGTTTGCCCAATGGTTTTCCAAAAGTTGTTGCGTTCGAGGGCCGAAAGCGCCCTATACCCATCCAGCCTGGAGCACCTCCCCATCCACATTCTGAAGGAACGCAAAAACTGTGAGAAAGCCATTGGAAACAAAAAACTGAAGAGCCGGAGGCAAAAACTGTAGGAACACCATAGAAAAAGAATAATAAAAAAAAACACTACAGAGAGTGCGGGGAATCCCTTTGGACGTGTCCCTTCAGACGGGTGTTCCCTGGAATATGTGTTGTTGCTTTTTGTTTGTTTCTGGGCTGCCCAACAGCACTTCGGTTTCTTTGTTTGTTTTTTGTGTTTTCCCAATGGTTCCCCAAAAGTTTTGCATTCCTTCAGAAGGAGTGACGGGGGAAGAGGAGGGGGAGGAGGAGGAGGAGGACGGAGAGGAGCCTCAGGGAGGAGGTCGGGGGAGGGTGTCGTACCTAAGGCGATGAACCCTCCCTCTGTGGTGCTTTCCCAAGGGATCCTGTTGAGAGGCTGTCCAATGGAATCCATTTGTGGTGCTTTCCCAAGGGTTCCTGTTGTTAGGGTTTCAAATTGGACCCCACACGACGACGAGGACGACGACGAGGACGACCAGGAAGAGAGGACGAGGACGAGAAGGAGGACGACGAGGAAGAGGACTGATGAAGAAGAATACGCAGGCCGTTCAGCAAAAATCTCAAAATCGCAGGGGGGGGGGGAAATCGAACCGAAACCTCATCAGCATCAGCATTGCCATCGTCATCATAATCAGCATCATCAGCATCGGCAGCACCACCAGCATCATCATCAGCAGCAGAAGCATAATCACCTTAAGCAGCAGCATCAGCATCGGAATAAGCATCATCAGCATCAGCATCATCATCAGCATCATCATCAGCATCATTATCATCATCGTCATCAGCATCAACAGCATCAATCATCATCAGCAGCATCAACATCAGCATCAGCATCATCAGCATCAGCATCAGCATCATCATCCTCATCATCAGCATCAGCACCATCATCACCATCCTCATCATCAGCATCATCACCGTCATGATCATCAGCAGCATCATCATCATCATCAGCATCATCATCAGCATCATCATCATTATCCTCCTCTCCCGTCTCATCATCATCATCATCATCATCATCAGCAGCAGCGTCAGCATCATCATCATCAGCATCATCATCAGCATCGTCATCGGACTAAGCACCATCAGCAGCAGAAGCATCATCATCAGCATCAGCATCAGCATCAGCACAAGCATCTGCATCAACATCAGCATCAGTATCAGAATCATCATCGGCAACAACATCATCATCATCATCAGCAGCAGCATCATCGTCACCATCATCAGCAGCATCATCGACATCACCTCATCAGTATCATCATCCTCCGCCTCCTTCTCCTGCTCATCATCATCATCATCATCATCAGCATCATCAGCATCATCGTCATCATCATCGTCATCATCATCGTCATCACCATCAGCAGTATCATCATCGGCAGCAGCAGCATCACCATCGGCAGCATCATCGTCGGCATCATCACCCTCATTATCAACTTCATCATCATCATGATCAGCAGCATCATCAGTATCATCATCATAATCAGCATCTTCAACATCAGCATCAGCATGAGCATCAGCAGCATCATCATTATCAGCATTGTCATCGTCGTCTTCATCGTCGTCATCGGCATCATCAGCATCAGCATCATCATCAGCATCAGCATCATCAGCACCATCATCATCATCATCATCATCAGCAGCATCATCATCATCATCATCATCATCATCATCATCATCATCATCATCATCATCATCATCATCATCATCATCATCATCATCATCATCATCATCATCAACATGGGCATCAACATCATCAACATCATCAACATCATCAGCAGTATCAGCATCATCATCATCAGCATCATCGCCAGCATCAGCATCAGCAACAGCATCCTCATCATCCTCATCATCATCAGCAGCATCACCATCATTATCATCAGCAGCATCATCATCATCAGCATCAGCATCATCATCATCAGCAGCAGCATCAGCATCAGCATCGTCATCATCAGCATCATCACAATCATATGCATCATCATCCTCATCATCAGCATCATCATGGTCATCATCATCATCAGCATCATTAGCATCATCATCATTATCATCAGCATCAGCATCAGCATCATCAGTTTCATCATCATCACCACTACCACCATCATCATCCTCATCATAAGCATCATCAGCATCATCAGCATCATCATAAGCATCATCAGCATCAGCAGTACCACCGTCAGCATCGTCGTCGTCAGCATCAGCATCAGCATCAGCATCAGGATTATCATCATCATCATCATCATCATCATCATCATCATCATCATCCTCAGTATCAGCACCATCAGCATCATCGTCATCGTCAGCATCAGCATCAGCATCATCAGCAGTATCGTCAACATCATCATCAGCATCATCATCGTCATCATGATCATCATCATCATCATCATCATCATCATCATCATCATCATCATCATCATCATCATCATCATCGTCGTCATCGTCATCGTCATCATCAGCATCAGCATCAGCATCAGCATCATCACCATCGTAATTATCGTCATCCTCATGCTCAGCATCATCAGCAGCATCATCATCATCGTTCCCATCGCCGTCATTATCATCATCAGCATCATCCCCTCGCCCGTGTTCTCCCCGAGTCCTTCCCCCCCCCGTGTTCTCCCTCCCTCACTCCTGCACACAGCCGCCCCGCGCCCAGGCGCTCGAAGCCCCTGGCCAGGCCGCCGCCTTCCGGTATTCGCCTCCCGCCCCACTGCCCAAACTCCTCCTCCTCCTCCTCCTCCTCCTCCTCCTCCTCCTCCTCCCCCTCCTCCTCCTCCTCCTCCTCCTCCGCCTCCGCCTCCGCCTCCGCCTCCGCCTCCGCCTCCGCCTCCGCCTCCGCCTCCGCCTCCGCCTCCGCCTCCGCCGCCTCCGCCTCCTCCTCCTTCTCCTCCTCCTCCGCCTCCTCCGCCTCCTCCGCCTCCTCCTCCTCCTCCTCCTCCTCCTCCTCTCCTCCTCCTCCTCCTCCTCTCCTCCTCCTCCTCCTCCTCCTCCTCCTCCTCCCCCACTCCTCCCACTCCTCCTCCTCTCCTCCTCCTCCTCCTCCTCCTCCTCCTCCTCCTCCTCCTCCTCCTCCTCCTCCTCCTCCTCCTCCTCCTCCTCCTCCTCCTCCTCCCTTCTCCTCCTCCTCCTCCTCCTCCTCCTGCTGCCTCCCTGCCTTCCGACCCCACGGCGCCTCTGCCTCCACCAGCGCGCCAGCCGGCGCGTCGGACGCATCCACGGCGCCAGGCGAAGCTGACGAATCTGCTGCCTCCCTGCCTTCCGACCCCACGGCGCCTCTGCCTCCACCAGCGCGCCAGCCGGCGCGTCGGACGCATCCACGGCGCCAGGCGAAGCTGACGAATCTGGCGCGACTGCGTCCCCTGGAGCCTCGCGAGGGAAAGGGGAAGAGATCGATAGCCGCGCGCAGTGGGCGTCTTCGCGGCCCTTCTTAGAGGGCAGCCTCGGCACAACACACACACACACACGTTTGCGTCGGCGGCTAGGCAGAGTGACTGCGCTGGCGATGACGCGCACACACACACACACACACACACACACACACACACACACACACACGCACATACACATGCAGTTTTCGCCGAGCGGCCAAATGACTACATTACTGCAAGCGCTCAGACGGGGTACGCTCAGCGCCAATTACACAAGGCCCGTACGCACAAGGAGGGGAGGGGAGGGGCCGAGAAAACGAACGCCGGCGTCGAGCGCGCTCCGCTAGGGAGCCCGCCCGTGCCCATCACGGAATGAGCATTGTGCGGAGGCCGTAGCCTAAAAAATGTGTTGCGTGTTCGGAAGCACGTGAGCCAGGAAAAGAAACGGGTCTTACGCGACATGGCGTAGCGACCTTACGCGGCGGCTTACGCCGACCGCCAGCGCGGCACGCCACATCCGAGACGAGGGCGCTTACGCGTGGCCTTACGCAGGCAGCTTACGCACGAATGTCGGCGCAGAAGACCCCGTTGGTTTACGTCGCTCATGTGATGTTCACCATCCCGTACAGACGACAACCAAAATCGATCGAAATCGATTGTGCTGTTGTGTACGTACATATTGTCGTGCTTCCATCGCTGCCCGAATGAGTTCCTGTCTGGTGGCGCCGTTCCTGACGCAATGCCCGTCAAAAATATGCAAGGACATGCAAATGTCGTCCCGTCATTCAGTTGCACTCCACGCTGCCAGCGCAAACGCTGTCGAGTCTAGAGGTTCTAAAAATAGAGTTCCATTCGAACACTCTCGGTGTCCAGCGTGCCGCGGGTGGTGAGCCGAGCCAGAGGGTTCCCCATCGCCAAGCCATTTTGCGACCATGTGCAGGGTGGCCGGTGCTTGAACGAATGCTGATCTCGAGCCATAGCAAGAATACTCCACTGCATGGCCGCTGAGCTCTGTGTTCCGGGAGAGGCCTCCGAGAACATGAATCTCAGTTTCCTAGAGGTGCCAACTGAAACATGATCGTCGCCAGGTTCTGCTCTTCACCCCCCCCACCCTGACGGATGCGCCACACCTCCTCTCCACACGCGCATGCCCAATCGCTCGTCGATCTAGCGGCCACTCGAAGGACAGATCTAACACGACCTCCGCTTCCCTAGCCCAGCTCGCGCCCGTGACCGCCCTCACTTCATCCGACATCTCCTGGCAGTTGAACCCCCGCGGAAGCACGGGCACCTCCGAGCAGTACTTGCAGAGCCGCCCGGGGGAGCACCGCGCCGCCCGCGCAGGACGCCGCACACGCCAAGCCGCCTCGTGCGTCGCGCACTGCGTCTCGGGCCTGCCCTGTCCCGCGCACGAGCCCGGCGCCCACACGGGTGCAGCAGGACTGGAGGCGCCCCGCGCCTCGCCAGCAGTCCTCGAGCCCGGGGCCGCCGCCGCGACCCCCCTCTCCCCTGCTCGAACCAGCCCTCGTCGTCGACTCCGCGAGCCCTCGCCATCGCCACCGCGCGCGCCCGGTGGCGCGACCAGGCGAGGCCCCTCCTGCTCCGTGCGATCACTCGCGCGCGGGAAGGTCACGCTCTCTCCTCGAAACCTGGCCCGACGCCGACGCAGCAAGAGACTTTGAATGCATCCCTCGCAAGTGCCTCTTCGGCGCGAGTTCAGGGGGGGGGGGCGATCGATGCGGGGGGAAAGGGTGCCCTTTTCGGGCCCTAAAGGCCCCCCTCTGGGCCCTGAAGCCTGTAAGAGGCCCTACAGGGCCCCTTTTCTGCAGCCCTCGCTGCCCCCCCATTCATCGACTCCTTTTAATTCACGCCAAAGACTCCAGGTCGTCGCCCATGTCGGGAATCGCACGGATGAAATCGCCACCCTGGTGCACGCCAAGCGCCTCCAGGTCGCCGCTACAGTACGAGGCAGGGCATCACTGCGTTCCTGCCGAAGTCATCTTCGCCCAGGTTGCCCGCTACGCGTCTGGAGAACCTGGCTCGCGATCCTCGTGCCTCACGGGCTGTCGAGCCCCTGTCGTGCTACGCGATCCTGTCGAGGAATCCTTCGGCGGAACTGCGCAGATCGGTTTCCGAACCCTGCCGTGGAAGCACGCCACCGAAACTTCAAGCAGCATCGGAGGAGAGGAGGAGGAGGAGGAGGAGGAGGAGGAGGAGGAGGAGGAGGAGCAGGTCACCTTCGCACGCGCGCGCAGCTCGGAGCCCAGCTGGGCACCACCCGCGCGCGAACTTCGGCGGGGGCGCCGCCGCGAAACCGTCGACCTGCCCTCGCCCGCGCTGGCCTCCGCCGCGCAAGGCCTGCCCCGCACTGTCGGGCAGCGCGGGCCCCTGTGCGTCTCGACCCACCTCGACCAGATCTGATTGTCGGAGCTGTCGATCATATCCGACCCCAGCACCTCCACATTGGCCTCAAACTCGACCATCTCGTGCAACTCCCTGGCCAGACCCTTGCAAGCCTTGTCGCTGCTGCGTGCCCCTGACCTCTTCCTGCGGGTTGGGTGGCTTGGCAGGTGAGTCGCTGCACGCGTTGGATCCGCTGAATCGTTTGGGGCAGTGTTGCTGGTGTAGTGTGCGATGTTGTGGTCCGTCTCTGGATCGCGTCGTGGTATCAGTGGCACTGTCGTGCGCATCTTTGGCGTTACAGATACCATTCGGCTCCGTCGACTACACAGAGGAAGTGATGTCCACGATGGCCCTGTGTGAGTCCACGTATTTGCGTGATGTCCACGATGGCCCTGTGTGAGTCCACGTATTTGCGCCATGCATAATGGTACGTATGACGGTGCCGATGTACAATATGAATCGGTGACACCGTGAGTAGTAGAAAGGGACGAAAGCATGTGCAGGAGGAGGAGGAGGAGGAGGGACGAAGCGGTTGGGCGGGCAAGCGACCCCCATCACACAGGCACATGCGTCGGCCGCTCGACTCCCCGCTCGAAGGCTAGGATGCGTCGTCACCGCCGCTCTCCCGCCGTCGCCGCCGCCGTCGCCGCCGCCGTCGTCGCCGTCGCCGCCGTCGCCCTCGCCGCCGCCGTCGTCGCCGCCGCCGCCCCCACTGCTGCCGTCGTCGTCGTCGAAGTCGTCGTCGTCGTCGTCGTCGTCGCCGCCGTCGTGGTCGTCGCCGTCGTCGTCGTCGTCGTCGCCGTCGTCGTCGAGGTCGCGCCGCCGAGCGCGGAGGCTTCGGCTCTCGGAGCATGCCTAAGCCGAGGGCACCTGGCGGCCGCTCGGGACGACGCGGGCCGCCAGCCGGGGAACGCCCCGGGGAGAGGCGCCGGGGCAGGGCCCCAGCTCGGGCCAGGCTCGAGCCCGGGCTCGGCTCGGGTTCCTCCCCTGTGGGGGGGGGGGGGGGGGGCGGGCGGCCCCTCGACACGCCCCGGGCCAGCGGGCTTCGGGGGGCCGCCCGACGGGCGGCGGCGGCCGCCGGCGGAGGCGCTCAGGGGAGGCCGCACGGGCTCGTGGCACACGGCGGCCGAGGCGGGGCACCCCTCGGGCGCGGCCTGACCGACCCGTACCGTCGAAACGAGGTGACAGGAACCTGGATCAAGGGCATGGGCCCCTTCGCCGGGAGCCCAAGGCCACCATGGTGCGGAGCCCAACGGCGAAGAACAGAAGCGAGCCGTCCAGAACGATGATTGGTCTCAACCCTCGTGCCAGCTGCACCGTGACCAGCACCTTCCGAGACATCACCCTCGCCTTCCAAGCTTGCCGCATGCAAACGTCTTTGGGGCGAAGCGAGTGGGGTTTCAGAAACAGGTCGGTTAGGCTGCCCCCGAACCAAGGCTGCGGAGGCCGTCACGGGAACGCCATGGGAGCGCCTGGTAGCCTGCCATGTCAGCTGGGAGACCTGGTCAGCGGGCGGCCGAGGAGGGCCCAGAGGGCGCGGATACCGTGCAAGGCGCCGCTCCGCCGCTTGGCGCCCTGCAACCTGCGACTGCCAAAGCGGCGGCACAATTGCCAATCACCCTGCGTCGCCGGAACTGTACGAGCGCCCAGCCCCTGCCCCCAAGGGTAGGTTCGCGTCCCGGGCCCGGGCCCGATGGTCTCCAGGCCCGGGCGCAGCTGCCGGAACGCACCCCGAAGCTGGAAAACCCTCTGGGAACCGACGAGCAGGAAGTTACGCAAGGAAGCGGCCGCGGCGCTTGCGGCTCAGGCAGCTGGGCCGCGCCAGGCAGCAGCGAAAGGGCAGCCCTACGGGCCACGAGAGCCCGCACTGACTTTTGGCATCCCTATACGAGTGCATCGGGCTCAACGCCCAGCCTCAAACAGTCGACCTTCCCCCCTAGGCGCCCAGCGCAGACCTCGGGGAAGCACTGAAACGAGTCAATGCAAACCCGGGCCAGTCGGGCTGTGCAGGATCCTGCGCCCTTACCCGGGTCAACGCGCCCCTGGCCCCAAAAGATCCTGCAAGATCGAACACTCGGGCTGACTCCCGCTTGCATGGACCCCCGTCTCAAAGCTCCCGACCCAGACCCCCGACGTCATGGTTGTTTCGTAACGTCGGCCTCCAGAAGTCCCGACCCATTCCCCGGGACCAGTCTTCCGTCCCGAATCATTTTCTGACGGCCCTGGGGGCCCCCGTGGGCCAGAAATCGCGGGAAAAACCGAGCCGCGATCCTACAAAATCTGGCGCTCTGGCGGACCCCGTTCGCATTGAGCCCCGTCTCCAGGCCCCCGATGGCCCAGGGTAAAGTCGCGTCGTCCTGGGCTCGTGCGTGATAGTCCCCAGGCCGGGGCGCGGCGCGCCGCGCGCCGCGGAGGCGCGGCGACGAAGGGCCGCCCCGCCAGTGTCCCGCCCAAGACTGGGGAACGTTCCCGTCGCAACGCGGCAGATGCGATCCGCTCGCGCGCTCTACTAGCCACGGGCGCGCGGCGTACGAATCAACGGGCAGCCAGAGTGAGAAAGGAGGGAGAGGGCGGCCGCAGAAAGCAGCGGGGGAAGGGGGCACTCACCGCGGAAAGAGTTTCAGGATGAGCGCGCCGGTGTGGCCAGCCTGTGCCGGGGCGACCTGGCAGCGGACGCGGAGCGGCGTCACGAGAACAGGGGGAACAGACAGTGGCATTAGCATCAAAGCTCGTCCTCGTCGTCGGGGTCGTCATCGTCATCGTCGTCGTCGTCCTCGTCGTCGTCGTCGTCGTCCTCCTCCTCCTCCTCCTCCTCCTCCTCCTCCTCCTCCTCCTCCTCCTCGTCGTCGTCGTCGTCGTCGTCGTCGTGGTCGTCGTCGTGTTCGCCAATATTTCCTTCTTTGCAGACGGTTACACCCTGACGTCCCCTATGCTTTCACGGCAGCAGGCGGCGGCAGCGCCACAATGGAAGAATGCATAATCTGGATGCACGCTACAATAGATGTGTGAGGCAACTCGCGAGGCCTCACAAGTACTTAGTACTTCATCATCTCCGCGAGCCACGTCTGAGCGCCATAGCTTCGGCCTGACACAGAAACCATAGGCCATAAAAAATTCTGGGTTCGGCCTCCTCCCACTTCAGCCTCCTCTGGGTTCGGCCTCCTCGGGGTTCGGCCTCGAGCGAAGCTTTAGGTCGCCACCGCGCCTCGGTTTCGAACGCCCCCCGAGGCTGGCACAACCCCAGGAACCGTCGAGAACCCTCAATTGAGCAGGGGCCGACCGTCAAGGCGTTCCTATAGAACTACCACGCCATGTTCTTAGAACCCAGAAATGTTCAAATAACAAAAACAACGTTCTTAGAGCATGAGCCCAATGTGTTAAAAAAGGACAGTCCCAGCAAGAAATGTTCTATGAACATTTCGTAGAAACCACAAAAGGTTCTTAGAACATTGTTTGGAAGGCCTATAGGTACGCCAGGACGCTTCGCCACTGCTTGAAACCCCAGGAACCGTCCAGAACACTCAGGGAACCGAGGACCCTCCCCATGGGCTCGCGGACGATCCTCGTCCTGGCCAACGTCCTCGTCCTGGGCGCCGCCGACCCTCGGCCTCGGCCTCGGCCTCGCCGCCGCCGCCGCCGCCGCCGTCGTGGTCGTCGCCGGCGTGGTGGTCGTCGTCGTCGTCGTCGCCGCCGTAGCCGTCGTCGCCGTCGTCGCCGGCGTGGTGGTCGTCGTCGTCGTCGTCGTCGCCGCCG